TGAAACTGTCCAGCGCCTATCAGAGACTTTCGGCGAAAAGTCATCATTGTTCAATATTCGGTACCAGTGTCTCAAGCTGATGAAAAACGAGGCAGATGACTTCCTGACGCTCGCCAGCACTGTCAACCACGAGTGTGAACGGTTCAAGCTCCCAGAGTTGACCGATGACCAATTCAAGTGCCTCATCTTTGTGAGCGCCTTGCAGTCACCTCGTGATGCTGAAATCTGGACCCGTCTGCTCTCAACAATTGAACAGGACCCGAAGTCTACTTTGCAGACATTGACGGCCGAGTGTCAGCGGCTAAAGAATCTGAAGCATGATTCTGCGATCATCGAGAAACCCAGTTCTTCGTTTGCCGCCACCAATGTGCACACTGTCACTCGGACCAAGTCGGTCTCGCCAATATCTCGGCCTAGGCATGCGTTATAACAGTTCTCGGTCATTTGCTTACTTCGGAGCAGAGAAGACATGGGAGAATGGTAGGAACAGTTTATTCTGTACAGAAGGAGTGGATATTGTCGGGGGAAATGTGAATATCGGACCAGTTCAAAGTTAATGCTTTTCTTGGTCCACTGCCGACAGTGGCAGACCTCCTGGAGCTGCTTCTATAAGCGGTGCTGGTGTCAGGTTAGCTGCATGATGATTTCTGTTAGGCTCAGGGCTGGGATAGTTATGCCCCTCTGACATTTAGCTGGAAGCCACCTGCACCAATAGGACTAAGTCCACGTTTCTGTAACCGGACTATTTATGTAGATATCTCTATCATGTTTCAGCGCCATGATGTCTCCTCATCTTTTTTTGTTATTTCGGTTTCAGAAGTGCAGGGGTTTTTGCGCGCCCCTTAACGCGGAGTGAGTCGGTAAAGACGCATCTTTCGCGATTACATCCAGGTACCCTTCATTTGGCTTATGGTGTTCTCTATAGTCTTTGGCTTTCATCACCTGCGCTTTTATTAGTCTAGCCTAGAAAGACTTGATGACAATTTATTTGCTCTCTTAAATTTGGATAATGTTGATTATTTACCGTGTGATCTGTGCACCACGGCAAACTTCTGTTTTATGTTTGATTCCAGACTTTGTGCTGCTTTGGTTTTATCTCCCATCAGGGGATGTTCTGAAACACTTTAAAGCTTTCTCTGTTTTCGTGGGACATGGTGCCGCAGATTGTCAGTGGCTATTTGAAATGCAGACTGCCTTTTAAATAGCCTGCTTACCCAGACCCCACTTTACGCATCCCTAAATAGCTGAACTTTAAGTCGAAGTTTTGCCTGCCTGTGGTTGGTTAATACCAAGCCGGACTTCTGGAACAGTTTGCAGTGACGCGAATAAGCTTATATCGGGCACGGTTGTGGCAACCTGAACTTTTGTTTAACGCTTGTCACTTTTTACCGTTTTTCTGTTTAATTTGTCTTCTCGTTTTAGAGGAACAACGAGAGAAACGAGAGAATCCGTCCTAGTCTACTCCTCACTGTGCTCAGAGCACCCTATATTATATATATATATATATACGTATATCCATGTGTGTATATTGACTTTATATATTATTTTTTTCGAGAATTCAAGCTTGTAGAGTTTTTTTACCTTTTTCCAACTGTTTGCCTTGCTGCTTATTTTATACGACGAGGTTCGGGCAACGAGCCATTAAATCAGTTCTCTATGACGACTTTTTCATTGTGTTCTGGCGTTGTTAGAAGTGGAGGACGAGGCGTGAATACTGTGCAGGCACGCTTCTGGAAACTGCCTTGCAGTGGAGACTGTCAGACGGTGAACTGTTCAGCAGTCACTAGCACATCATGCCGCTCTTGCCACTGCAAGGGCAGCCGTCAATTACTCGTTTTTTTCGTGGGAGTCAAGCAGGAGATAAGCGCTGTAGCGGCTGTCGATTTTATGGCATTTCCCAAGTAGAGCAGTCTGCGTTAATACAGAATTGGTAATTAGCGAGGACCTTCAGTCTGGCCGTCTTTGACTCAGTCGGGTGGGAGCGGGGTATGCAGATCTCCCGTCGAAGTTAATCATTGCTTAGCGTAGATGCTGATGATAGTGACTAATTTGACCCTGTTAATCGATTGTCATTGGCTGCATTAAGCAGGACAGTCATCACACCAGCCGTCCTTTTTAATGATGGAATTAACTCGTTGCTCTGCCTCTACACTTCCGCTGCGGAGAAAGGTATATTGGGCACACTCGCATTTAAGCGAAACTGGCGATGTCCACATTGTGACGGACCTTTTCCCGAGATATCGAAACTGTTCTCATTTCTGGTTGGCAAGCGGGACAGGCCGTTAGGCTGGAGAAGGAGATCATACGCATATTTAGGCTACCCCCAATCACGGGTATTTGTAATAGGCGTTCACGCACGTTTGCATTAGTTTTTACTCCAAAGGAAGTATAACCGACTCCGGTGTTACTTTCGCCGTGTGGATCAAATGTTGGGAAGATATTGTGTGTGGAATTCGCCAAGGCTGATGAA